CGTGGAGGGCCACGGAAGGCGAGATGAGTCTGGTGGGGGGCTTCCCCCACCACCCCGTGGTGCACCATGAGGGCTACCCGTTCGCCGCCGCCGCCGCCGCCGCTGCCGCCGCCGCCGCCAGCCGCTGCAGCCACGAGGAGAACCCCTACTTCCACGGCTGGCTCATTGGCCACCCGGAGATGTCGCCCCCCGACTACAGCATGGCCCTGTCCTACAGCCCAGAGTATGCCAGCGGCGCCGCCGGCCTGGACCACTCCCATTATGGGGGAGTGCCGCCCGGTGCGGGGCCTCCGGGCCTGGGGGGGCCGCGCCCGGTGAAGCGCCGGGGTACCGCCAACCGCAAGGAGCGGCGCAGGACTCAGAGCATCAACAGCGCCTTCGCCGAGCTGCGGGAGTGCATCCCCAACGTGCCCGCCGACACCAAACTCTCCAAAATCAAGACACTGCGCCTGGCCACCAGCTACATCGCCTACCTCATGGATCTGCTGGCCAAGGACGACCAGAACGGCGAGGCGGAGGCCTTCAAGGCGGAGATCAAGAAGACCGACGTGAAGGAGGAGAAGAGGAAGAAAGAGCTGGTCAGTCCTGGGGGCACGGAGGGTTGGTGAGGGGCTCGGGCTCCCCGGGACCGCTGATCAGGTCTTCCCAGTAGAGTCGAGAAACTGCCTACCGGCGTTCTTTGGCTGCGTAGTGCGCGCCGAAGTTGTTTTCAGCAGGTTGTAGAAGGGATGGTTTCCTGCAAAAGCCAGGAAGAGCGGGGAGGATGTCAGCGGCGGGAGGAGAAGGGTTTAGACGTCTGCTTGGCGCTTCTGGTCCTCCCTTGAGGTTCCCTGCCCCTCTAGCCCGTTAGGACCGGCCTCCGAAACTCTAGGAACTGACCCACGTCCCAGTCTCACTGGCCGGGTCCCCCTCATTCTGTACCCATTAGAGCTATCTTTTGGCTTCCAATCCAACCTTTCTTTTAAATATTTCTATAGTAAGTTGTCAGTGGCCTCGGAGTTCCAATTATCTCACTATTGATCACATGCCCCACTCCAAAACCGAGGCTGCCTCCGGCTCCAACACTAAGAAAGTGTTTTGCTTGTTCATGCTGCTAAGGCATGGGAGAGGTAACGGTAAACATTCAGTACACTGAACGTAAAAATACAGCTTTAGTTTCTCTCTGGGTGCAAAGTTAAAGCGTAATTTCTCAAGTGCCATAGCTCAAGTGTCACGAGCATTTCTAATTTTATTTGGATGAGCTTGTGCATTTTAAGTGCTTTTTTAAAAAAAAAAAAAAAGCAGGCACTGTGGTCATTACTATTAACTCTAACACGAAGTTATGGCCCAGACATTTAAAGTGTTCTTAGGTTCTTTTACCAACTGCCTGGAAAGTGGTGGTGTTCGGGGGTGCGTCTATGGTCAGTCAGGAAGAACCTGGGAAACAATTCCATTTGTGGAGATTTTTCTCCTTTGTGGCTTGCAGCCCTCTCTGATTGCTGCGTAATGGAATGGCCTTCCGAATAACCAAAGCTTTCAAGGGCCTTGGAGAAAAACTGCAGAGCTGAGGGCACAGGACCAGGACGCCGCTGGCTGGCGGGAGAGGCAGGCCCAGGCCAGAACAGGAGGGCCTTTGGACGTGGGATCGCTATGGAAAACGCAAGGCAGATTTAGCACCGGCCTCTGCCTCCCCTCCTACAATAGCAGTGAAAGGGGGGGAAAGACCCGGGACTTCCCTGTAAACGACTAGAAATGCGGGCCGTGGTTTATAAACTTGCTGACTGCGTCCTTGATCATTGTGAAGGGAGGCCTCGGAGGTTGCTAAAACACTGGAAACCTTGCCTAACTTCTGCAGGGGGCCGGTACCCGAGGCCCCCCTTTTCTAAGCGGTCCCTCTAGTACTCAGGCTGCGTCCTCTGGCGAGCGAAGGGCTAAGGGTGCCAGGACCAGGACCATCCTCTCTGAACTTGTCTTTCCATTTCTCCCCGCCCTCCCCTCTGTTTAGAACGAAATCTTGAAAAGCACAGTGAGCAGCAATGACAAGAAAACTAAAGGCCGGACAGGCTGGCCGCAGCACGTCTGGGCCCTAGAACTCAAGCAGTGAAGAAGAGGAGGAGGAGGAGGAGGAGGAGAGCTTGGGAGCCCCGGGCCAAGGCGCCAGATGCAGACCCAGGACTCTCTGAAAGCCCTCGGGCTCCGTACTGAGGACTTCTTGCAGTTGGATCATCCGGTTTATTTATGTGCAATTTCCTTACCCCTCTTTCTGCCCCCCACCCACCCACCCTTGAGGCATCCGCTCCCCACCTCCCTCTCCAAAAAAAAAAAAAAAGTGGATATCTGAAGAAAAGCATTCCATATTTTAATATGAAGAGGACACTCCCGTGTGGTAAGGGACCCCCGTCCTTCTCTGTGTGTGAATGTTCCCTCTCGGCTGTGTAGACACCAGCGTTATCCCCTCCCCCACTTGCCCAGCCCCTTCCAGATAAAGAAGTGGACACTAGTGCGTATGTGAAGTGTGTATCTTTACTACTCGGCCTTTGGATATAAATATTCCTGGGGATTATAAAGTTTTATTTCAAAGCAGAGAACAGGGCCGCTGACGTTTCTGTTGGGGTCAGTTATCGAGTGCTGTCTTTTCAAGTGTTGTTGTCGTTCCCTATTCGAAGATGTTTCCACCACCACCACCGGCTACTTGTTTTGTGCGCTTCTGTCCTCTAAAACTAAGTGGAATTTAATTAATATTGAAGGTGTAAGCGTTGTGAGTATTCAATAAACCACTGTGTGTTTTTTTTACAAAAAAAAAAAAACAACCCTAATCTTTATATGGGTGATACCTCAAAAAGAATTTTGAAAACAAAGCTGTTATACTTGTTTTCATAATATTTAAAATATTCAGAAGTAAACTAAATTATCGTAATTGCCTCCCACTTTATTTGAAAGAAGTCAGTGGTTCTAATCAATCAGTATGATTTGAGGCTCCCTATGTGAAGGGGCAGTTATTAAAGTGAAGTGTCCTGGTGAAAATCCTGACCAAAGGCCTGGGCTTCTATCCGGTGCCGTCTCTCTTCTTCTTCTTCCCGAAGCTCCCAGGAGACCTTTGAGCGGTCTTTAGGAGTGTGTCTGGTGGGGAGAAGGGCCTGTGCTTGGTGCCGAGGGTGGAAGGTGCCCTTGTTTTATAGGTATCAATCGGAAGCCCTGTGCCTGGTGCTTCGTTTTGTGTTTGGGGAGCGTGTTTTTTGTCTGTGGAGGAGGTGTGAGGAGTATCCCAGGCCTTATTACAGGCACAGGAAATAGTCTGGGGCGTTTAGTTCAAAATATGGGGCTTTCATCCAAGATTTTTTTTTTTTAAGGGAGAGAGAAAAAAAAAGAGAGGAGGGGGTTTTGCTAGCTCTTCCAGATCGGAAGATTCTCATCTGCGTGGTGGCGGTGGGGGGAGGGGAGTCTTTTGAAAAAGAAGTCTATGATTAGGTAACAAGGAATTTTACGTCAAGTAAGAAATCGCGAACAAGACCACAGATTTAAAAGGGGGGTGAGAGGTTGGGTTAGATTTACAAGGAGCTACAAGGGAACTCAATATTAACTGCTCCGTGTCTGAAGTCTTCTTCGATGCTGCAGCGAGAGCAAGTGGCGACCTCTCCCCCTTGGCTGAACAACCGCCCCGGGAACTTCACCCTGTCCCGGGCTTTGCGGCGCCCCGAAGTCCTGTACCGCAGAAGAAAAATCCCTGCGGCCTGCTTTTCCCGAGGGCTCGGCTAGATAGAGCTTCACCCTTAGCTCTAGAAATCAAAGACCCTGAGGTGCTATTAAGGGGTCTTGGGGGTGGAGAGCTGGGGAGGCGGGGAAGGTCTTGGGGAGGAAGGGGAATGAATAGTATTATTTTTTTTCTTTAAAGCGGTTTGTTTCATGCAACTCCGTGTGTATAAATCTGGTGTCGGAGAGCCTTGCCAACCGGTTTCCTCCGCCTTTAGGCATCCCTGCGGTGATGTTCACACCTTGCCTGCCTGGGGGCCCAGATCCTCCTCGGAGCGTTCACACGGCTCACTCTTAGCTCCTCTGACCCGGGGTGGTCTGCAGTTAGCTTGACCAGACCTTCGTGGGTGAGGGGGGCGGCGGGGGCGGGTGTGAGTGGCGTCTCGGACTTCTGCGGGTGGCTGACGAGGCGAGGGCGAGGGGTTAGAACAACTAGGCCAAAGCGATCTGAACTTTCTCCCCTTAGGTCAGCCGGCGCTGGGCCGACCTGTTGGGCCAGGGGCTGTGTTTACAGACACTTGCCTTTGTTTATAAGGGGTGGGGGGTAGCCCAGGTTTTCTGCGGCTCTCTGGATCCCTGTCTGCTCGGACCAGGCGGCGGGCTCTCTCTGCTTTTGCCTGCAGAGAGGCCTAGGACATCTTTCATTTTTAGCAGCTCTGAAGGGAGAGGCCGGGTTCTAGAGGCAGAAG